TCTCCCCACCGCCCTCACCGCCACGCTGCCAGCGCAGCCGCCGGGCGACGCGACAGCGGCTAGCGGCCGGGAGAGCCTCTCCAGTGCGGGCTGGGGGCGGCGGCGGCACTCTGCGGGTGGCGGGCGAGCTGCTGGCTGGCCGGCGGCGCGTCTCGACTCAAATTATGGGCCGCCTCTCGGGCGTGCGGCCAGGGGCCCGTGTGGCGCGAGGAGAGGGCGGCGCGCTCGGCGCGCTGGCGGCGGTGAAGCCTCTCAGAGTGGGCGCTGGCTGGCCGAGGGCGTCGGGCGGGTGTGGGGCGGCACTCGGGCCGCCGGACGGGCCGTGGTGGCCCGTGTGGCGTTCGTGAGGGACTGTTTGGGCGCCCCGGCAGCCTCCCCGCCTGCGTGACCAGGGCCGGTGGTTTGGCAGCGGTTTGGGCTGTGTGTGGGCTGGTCGCGGTAGGGGATATAGTGCTTGTTTATGGTCCCACTCACCACTCCCGGCCAACGGGGCCTCGCGGGGCGTCCTCGTTTGCAGTAAAAGGCCTCTGCCATCGCTCAGAGTCCCAAACCATGTGATCCTCCGCGCCGCCGCGCCCGAGTAGTCTGCCAGATGCGACGTCGTCGGGGAGGGCGTCGTCGCGGGCGCCAACGTCGTCATGCGAGCCCCTACGGCTGTCCAAGGGCACGTCAGGGTGACCAGGGGCGGGGGTCGAGCGTGAGTGCTCCGCCGGGGCGAGCTTCTGGGTCCATGGGACCGCTGCCGGACCCATCCGAGAGCCTCTCCGGACACGTTCGCTCGACGGCCTAGTTGGCGGCCGATGTTCGACGACTAAAGCTCCGGACGCCGCGGCCAAAGGTCCGCCCACGGCCCCAGGGCTCGTGGTGGGTGTGGGGTGTGCCTCACGAGGCGGAGAGGCCGCGTGAACTCCCGTAGAAGCTCGCGAAGTGCGGATTTGGAGCGCCGCGCCGGACCTCCGCCGGGGCCCGCCGGGACGCCGTATGGGCCTCGGGGTGCCCGATAAGCTTAGAGGTGCGGTTTTTTTTGCTTGTGTCTATCGGTTCATGTCATGGACCGGCCCTGGGAAGCCTTTGACCGCGCGCGGAGGGTGTTACGGGGCCGTGATGATTTAGCGGGAGGGAAATCGGCCGATTTGCCCAGTGTGCAGATTTATTTTGCATGACCTGTCCTAAAATGGATACCTGCGCTGGAGAATGGCATTCAGTTTCGCGGACCTGCCCTTTTAACAAGGCTTCTATAACTGGTTGGGTAGTAGGCTAAGAGTTCTGAGCCTCGAGGCTTAACGGGTCTAAGTGTGTGACCGGTCACGCTGGGGCGGGGCGGCCGCACCAAATCGTCAAGTCCATGAGTGTCTGCCAGGGATGACCACGTCGAAACCACCGAGCACTACCTTCGCAGCGTCCAGGTCAGCAACGCGCAGATCGTCCAGGGGACGCAGAAAGGAGGCAGGGCCGAGTAATGAGCGTGTGTAGACATTGTTGAGCGAGGCGGAGCCCAAGGTATCCATACCCAGCGCTCTCCGATTCCGCCCGTAGCGCAAAGTCCCGTTGGGCGACCATGTCGGCTTCCCGGCCAGTGGCTTCCCCCCGGGCGCATGGGGGCGTTCGTCGCTTGCGGCAACACGCTGCCACGCGCCCGCGAGACGGTTCTGGGCGTGGAGGGCGGGGACAGGGGTGGGAGGGTGGGACGGTGGGATCCGCGGACGGGGACCGGGACGGTTGAGGCTGTCAAGGGCCAGTACACGGACGCAGAGGGGAAGTGCCATGTGGAGGCGTTGCTCTTCGAGGAGTTCGGCGCAATGAGCGCGGGGGTGGAGGAGCTGCTGATGCGGGTGGCTGAGGTGGCGGGCCGGAAGCTCACGTGGTGGCAGTACGACCAGACGTCGTGGTCGGCGCGCGAATGGATGCCGTTTGCGCTGCAGCGACTGTCGGTGCAGCTCTGGGTGGCGCTCGCGGACGAGGCACAGCGCGCCATTGGTGCGGCGTCGCGCGACCGCGAGGGACCGCGGGGGAATGCTAGTGGGATGGGGGGCTCTGAGGGGAAGGGAGCGGGGGGCGCCCAGTAGGGCGCCGGCACCCCAGCGTAGAGGGCGTCGTGTAGCCCTCCTTTTGGTGTAAATAAAATTCTTCCGCCTTCAACCAAGGGACTCGCGCCATGTCGTCCGCCGTCGCCCGGTCGCTCCGGTCAGCTCCCGCGTCCGCCCGCCGGCTCCCCGGCCGCGCGGTCTTGTCTCGCGCGCGCTCGACGGCGGCGGTCGGCGTCGCCGACGACGCCGAGCCGCAGGGCTCCCTCTTCAACCCGACCGCGGAGCACTATGCGCTCCGCGAGCTGTGCGCCGCGTTCGTGCGGGACGAGGTGGAGCCGCAGGCGCTCGAGTTCAACCGGGCGGAGCGGTTCAACCACCC